AGGCGATGCATAGACAGTTTGTAGCCGAAGCAACTTGTCGGGCATTGCAATGGTAACTTTATCATGATCTCTAGCAAAGAACGGCATTAGGAACTATATAGAGTACATTTCGCCGCCTATGTTTAGATTAAACATCCCTTCCTGCCTAATTACAGGTAATCATGACCATCCTTTCATTATCATTATCATCATCATGTATAGGATGATGGGCACAATGAACTACTCGTGAATTTCGACACGGTACGCCATGCGTTGGGGAAGTTGTAAAATTTACAAGTTTTGTATGTTTTTCGCACTAACATGCATTTTGTGGAAAACAACACAAAAATTTGGTTCCAAATGGCTGCTCCAAACTACACCATAACCATTATAGCGTGTAGAAGTCCAAGTAAAAAAAGATATCTCTCAAAAGATAATCCTAGCTATCTTATGCAAATACATGTGTCCTGTCATGCAGTGATGAATAGCGACAGACACTTCAGCGCTGCTCCCACTGCATATCACTAGCCGAGCGCCGCCGCTACGCGGCGGTAATTTATTTTTGATCGCAATCGCTAAGGTGTTTCCCGCCTCCTTCGCTTCGGAGTGAATGTACCCTTTTTAAACGACCATTTGTTCGTCGATTACCCTTAAATGTTCTCTTTTACCTATTTATCGATTACTTTTAAATATTTCATTTAACCCTGCAATTACTTATCACTTTATAACAATATCTAAGTTTAATCTCCAAGTTGAGCAGTAAAGCTATGCCAACACGTTATAGCTTTTCTCTCATTCATAGTAGTATATATTTTATTTACGAATGTTTAGGATAGTCTGGTGCCATAATGTTATTAGCAAAAGTTTTATTGTTTTTATATTCGTCACTCCATCATTTTGGAGTGTGCAGTCTGGAGTATTTCCTCAGTTCGTTGTATTGTTCGAGCATCACTCCATCAAAAGATACATATTTACTTGTTTTTGTTTGACATGTAAGTATCGTTGTTTCAAGCCGCCTGCCGTTCATGTAGAACTCCCAGATAGCTATACTACCAGCAGCTCACACGCACGTGTTTCAGCTATGTGATTTTGCGATTGTGCGCTCAACTATCGATATGGTCTATCTGTCTCAATCATTCTGCTTCAGATTAAGTGTCCACATTTCCAGTGAGTTTGAGTGCGTTTACCATTTAGCAATGAACTAAAACACCCCCTCATAATTGTCTAAAACTCGTCACATCCACTATCACAACTATTTGTAAACAAAAATTATGTTCTAACAATTTTAGAATGTTATTGTAATTACGAAAATACTCATGCATTTAAGCTTGTTGCGAAATAAGGCAAGGGTTCGAGTCCATACGAATAATGTTCAGTCTTTCGCGAAAATAGCGTGATTGGTATCCCTGTCCTTGTTGTGACTAAAGCGAAAAGCGCTATAGAGAATATGATCAAGTTACTTCTACATTATGGTATTAGTAACGGTTTTGTATCTGGAACTGAATGTCATTTGGCTCGAATAAACTTATGAATATTAGCAACCGTGTTCTTATTGCAGACCCGCTAGTAGTGCAAGTTTACTCGTCAAGCTTAATCTCCGTTTAGCTCGTAACTTCCTTAACGTGTCGCTTTCGTGTAGTTTAGACTCAAACGACGGGGACACAGATACTATGTATAGCCGCATAGGGTCCTAGCAAGCACACGTTGCGCATTTGTAGTGCGGCAGCGTATGAAATAGATAAAGTAATGTTACTAAAGGAAATTATTCTTCTTCTAGATGCTGCCTTCACTTCGCTTGGCAGCTTAGAGTGAATAGCCTTGCGAGGTCGTGCTATGGTCACCGTATGTACAATATGTGCCACAAATGACAATAATGTGCGCCACATAATCACATTTTAGCCAGTCATAAGGCTTCAAAATTCCAGTGGAATCATGTGACGAACTGACACGGTGCTAGAGTTTATGTTTAAGACTAGCCGAGCATTGCCTCTTCGCGGCGGAGGCGCATGCATATTTTTAGTACCTATTGCCTGCATTCCGCTCGCCGCGGGCTTGCTACACTACTCGCTTGTTTGGTTGGTAATTTGAGCTGTGACG